ATTCCAAGTCGGTTGCTGGTAACTTTTCAATCAGTGTTACTTGCAATTCATCGTATCATCTCATGATTGGTAATCATATTTATTTAAGCCTATCTGTTTTACACATATTTTTACTCTTTCAGCTTACTAATTCCTTTAAAATTATCTATCTGCTATTTGATCTTATTTCTAATATTTCTACATACAAATAATTACATTTTTTAGCATCATCAACACCACACAGTTGACACTATTATGGAATAAAAAATTTTCTGAAATAAAATCATAAAAGCATGAAACAGTTGTTTTTTTTTTTTTTAAACATCAAATAATTTGAAATTCATTTTGACACGCGGGGACAAAAGATGAAGCAAAATTTAGTTGTTCAAAACTTTCAACATAATCCAAGCTATAACTAAGAAAATTATAATTTTACTTCATAAATTTGATCAAATAACGAACTGAAAGCGAATGGTCAGATTCATTAGTGGTCAAAAAACATTCATCTTTTTTTGTGCAAAAAAACTATGCCAAAGAATTGATGAGCAAAAGTTATAATATGATACTATGAAGTGAATGAAGGAAAAAATACGAAATAATCACAATCTCTGTGGTGAAATTTCTTACTTATCTAAAAGAGAACAATAAAATGATAAAACGATAGCATCAAAAAAATGAAATACAAAAAAAGTAGATAGTGCGATCACTGTCCATTGTCGGAGAATATCTTGTGGAATTATTGTGGGAGAATAGCTTGGGATCAATACAGTATCCGAATAAAAGAAAGAAGATATAAGCATCAATACAGTATCCGAATAAAAGAAAGAAGATCATGTTAGATCATATTTGTTGTCCGTTTGGTGAGAAATACCGAAGATAGCTATAAATTCGGAGAGGGAAGTGAAAAAATAGTCAGATTCTTTTGTTATGACTTCTCGTTATGACTTCGTTTTTTGTTTGTATCGTTTGACCTTCTGTTACAATTCTTTCTTTGAATTCGTGTTGATCATTTAGTGGATTCTTTCGTCCATTAAATGTTTAGAAATAAGATGGAGATTTTCATCAACTATAAGATGGCTAGAAGAGTAAGGGATGATTTCTCAATTGATTAAAATTGGATATTTTAATTAAAAAGAAATATGAGAAGTCATATTTCAGTTCTGGAAATTTTTCACAGATTCGCGTTGATCTTTCAAAAATCATTTATCCTTTATGAATAGGATTAAACCAGTTATAACTAAATTGTATTAAAATCAATCCAAAGTATATTTAAAGATAGCGAATGAATTTTTGTTCCATTTTTGAATTTTTCAATTAAAAATTTATTTATTGCGAGGATTCAGTGCCAAATACAGGAACTGCTGAAATTGTGATCATGGCTTAATTTCAGTGATGTTTTCCGGTTGTGATTGAAACTATCGATAATGAACTATGAATTGTTTGTTTCGTCATTTTTTTTTTTTTGTTAATTATTCTAATGATTCAAAATTTTTAGACTCACCAAGTGCAATATTTTTTCTATTATTAAGTTTCAGATTTATATCCAGAATTTGTGCATTGAAACTCTGCCAATATATTAATGAATTGCTATGTTCAGGGCGAATAATACTGTGATATTTAAGTGAGGAAATTTAATAAAATTGTCATTCTCAATTTATACCGTAAGCCAGTTGTTTTCACATTTTCCAGTTTGAATACTAAATGTTATAATAAATACAATTCAGAGCTAGGAAAAATACTGGGACAGTAATTCAACCTGTAATTTCGAAAGCTGTCTCAAATATCAGTTCCAGCTTTTTTTTTTATTATTCTATTACAATAGTTATTGCATATATTATATATATTTAAACTTTATTTAATTCACGAAATTGCAATGATTGTCGTGGAAATTCTTTTTTCTGGACACTTTGCACAGTTCCATGCAAAAATTTGTTGGCTTTTGCTAATTTTGCTATTCGAATTATTGTAAATCAGATAAATGAAGATGAAATATTTCTATTTCCATTTATTATATATAATTAATTCGAAAAAGAATACAAAATATTCAAATTTCTATTCCATCCTAAATTCATTAACATACTTTAAAAATGCTTTAATTTAGCAAATATCGCTGGTACTCATTTATATACACTAATAGGAAAATTTGCATCAAAGAGGTCATAAAATCTTACTATAAAAGTTTTTTTTTTCCTCCAGAATGATTCCCTTTCTCTCTCCTTTATTCCTATATTCTTAATTTACTTCAACATCTATTATTTTCTCTTATTTGTTCCTTCTATTATTTTTTAAGTCATACTTTTTGATATGCATACAAATATATATAATTCATAATGAAATTTCATATTTTATTGGCATTCCATCTACAGATATCATAAATTCATTAATTTCACTTTGATTATTTCGATTGAAATTATCAGATAATTAATTCATCAGATAAAACACTGGAGCTAAATTTGCCACTTTACTCAACATCATCAAAATTTTTGAATTCCTTTAGCGTATAAAATAACACTGAATCATAAATAGTCTTATGCTATTAAGTCTGGTGCTAATAAATTTGTGTTTTCTTTCAACTCTACATTTCTTTTAAATTTATAATTTGGAGAATGTGCTGGCACTAAGTGTGTACGATCAAGTAATAGAGATTACTAAAAGGAATTTAATTAATTTGATAGCTTATCCGAATTCATTCCAATTTATTTACTGACAAAAAATGTGGATGAAACTATAAATAATAAACAATGCAATCAATTTTATTCAGCGATAAAAATCACTTTTATGCAATTAACACACATAAACAGCTAAAATTTCTCAAACAATCTATCAATGGAATTAAACTTCTTCAGTTAACCATAGTTCTTCAAATAAGTCTAATCATAAGAGATTAATCGCTTCTGCAACGGAATAATTATTAAGTAGTACTAAGCAAATAATACAAATAGTTCATATGGTAGCACTATGTCGAGGTACTCACCATTAATTAGAATTTACCAAAGGACGACCTTGACAACCCGGGAAATTGTCAATCCAAAACATTCTTTGAAAGATAAACAAATAAATTCATGAAAATTAATGTAAATTGACAATAATTACCGAAGTAATGAGATGCATGTCATCGTTGTAGCTGATGTCATCGCTAATATAGTCGTTAATGCCAACTATGTCATTATTTATGTCAACGTCAAAATCTTTGTTGTCGTCTGAGTTATTGTTAACGTCTAAGTCATAGAAATCGTAAATGCCAATGTCCTAAGAAATCTTGCATGAATTCTTTTTTTTTTTTTTGTCACAAAAATTGTTAAAAACTTGTAACTGTCTGTCTTTTAGTTCTCATTCAATGTTTATAAAAATATGAATTCATAAAAAAAATACCCCAAGTGATTTCTGTGATATTGCTAATAATGTGAATGTGCTGAGAATGCAAAACGGTAGCGATGGCGCAAAAAATAGAACTCGAGCGCTTTTCATCGTTATAGAACGTTTATTAATGCTTTAAAATGAAAAAAAGAAATTGCAAGAATATAAGTTAAGAAACAAAATTAATAAAATCTAAGTTTGATGGACATTGAAGTTTAGCATTTCAAAAACGTTAACATTCTGCTAAATTCATTTAATATTTTGATTAATATTGTTTTACAAAAGTAAAAATGAAATAATCAAATAAATTTACGAAATACAAAGCAAAGATATGGTGAATTTACAGTCAATTTCGTCTTTTATTTAAGCTGAATAATCTTTACTCTATGAAGAAAAAAGAATGAAAAAAATTTTTCTGATGATTAGTGCTGGTAAATTTCCAATCTAGTAAAAAGGACTGATGATTTTAGGAAAATTAGTAATGCAAGTTTTGATTGTTATTTGTTTTTGATTTCAAAGATTATCCCATAATTTTGTTCCCCGACTTAACATGTCAGTCGAATTTTCATTGAAATTTAAAAAATTTTCAAATTAATACACCATTTATTTTGGAAGTTGCATAACTGTATTTCTATTTGAATTGATTTCCTAAGGGAGTGCTAATTTACTACCGAAGATAGTATTATTTCTCACTTTCATTGAGGAGACCTTTAAAATCATTCGGCATCGAAATACTTTGCCTATAATCGGAGCGATGCTAATTAAATTAATGATAATTAAAAAGGAAACAAACGGAGCTTAATGGAGAAAAATTACCAATATATTTCTAAACTTAAATTTATACAAAGAATTCGATTAAGATAAATGGATAAATCACAGATAAATTTTTTATGAAGTGGTACTTTAAGTATTTAGCAGTCATCCAGTGAAGGATACGTCACAAGTTTAAGTTTAACGTTTATCAATAAGATAGCTCAAGTGAAATTTTAAACTTTTTGATATGTCTAATTGTTCTCTTGCCGCGACAAAAATTATCATAATGCAGACCTACCAAAAGTCATTGCTTTTGTATAGATTTAGCAAAAGTCTAACAAACAATTTTTTTTTTAGGATTATGAACTATTTGCATAGAATAAAGATTATTCAGATAAAAGTGAGACGAAACTAATCTCGAATTCAGTGTATATTAATGTGCATTTCGTAAAATTATTTCATTTTTGCAATAGCAAGTCGTAATACTCAAATCAACAAGATACTGAGATTCATGATAATTTAATTTAATTTAAGAATAGCAACTTCAAAGTCTATCAGTTTAAATTATCACTCATTAAAATATACAATGGCGTTTATATTTTAATCACAATTTCTTCTTTCATCAAGGGAATCAATAAGCGCTCCGCAACAATGACAAATGCGCAAATCTTATTTTTTACGTCACCATTACTGCTCTGCGTTCTCAGCACACTGATATTGTTAGCAACACCTCAGAGATCAATTCCAGTAATTTTTATTTTTATATTGCTATAATTTGGTTTTAAATGAAAAAATTTTAAAAAATCGGAAATTCACTGAAAATTTTTTATGCATCTGACGACGACTTGAGCGAAAACGATGAAATTCCCAATCAAGAAAACGTGGGTGGATTTGATGAAAACATAGAATTTATGCAACAAGATATTATTTCTATTGAAAGTTCATCATGGAATACCGCCACAGATGATGAAAGATTTATACTAGATGGACTTTTAGAGGAAGGATATATCAATGAAACAATGCTACCGTGGAAGTAAGTTTACCTTCGATATTTTCATGTAAGTAAACTTTGACGCTGTTTTGTTTGCACCGTTTAAATAAAAACTTTTGTTGCAGTAGTGGTATACCACTTCTGGTTAGATTTATTTGGGGTACTGAAGCTTACAACAATGGTGAAATTGTCGGCCTTGAAGTCTTGTAATAATTCTGTGACGTTTGTTGAATAAAACTGAAATTTGTTATTGTCAATATTCTCAACATAAAATGGCTTTTGCTTCAGTACGATTGATTTTAATTTCCATTTTGCAATCATTCAAATAACTGAGAAAGTGGATCATTTCAAGTCGATGTAATATCCAATTAAAGTGCTTTTTAACCAAATATTATCGGCTATTTTCCAAAAATACTTGGCGCATATATCAAATCTAAGTTACCTTTATATACATACCAACATTTATATACTTCTCTACGCATTCCCTTGTAGTAAGGGAGACATGTATATATTTCTTTTTTAAACAGCAAAGTTACTATGAATTTTGACCATTGTAATCTTTAGTGGAAATAAAAAAAATTTTTATTGTTAATTTTTTGTTGAATTGTCTCTATCGAAACATGGAATCATTGTTTAACATGTAAATCCTTTTATTCTATTCAAAACATGATAAAATTTTTAAATAAATGGCAATGATTTCTGGTGATAACCTGCATAATTTCATATAAATTAACTGATAAGTGGAGTTTTTTGTTAAAAAATTTTCAAATTCATTTTTTATCGCTTTTGGAATCTCGTAACTTTTTTGCTCGAATTTTTAAACAATCTAAAAAAGAATTTAGAAATAGGAAATTTTGCATTTATTCTCGAAATTATTTGATTTTTATTTCTAGCATATTTTTTTAATTATAGCATATTTGGATAAAATAAGGATTAGTTAGCTAAAAAGAGGAACGAAATTGATTTTAAATTCACTGCATAGTTAGTAAGTATTATTAAACAAGACAATTGATGGTGTGGTAATGGAATTGATGAGTACAATTTATCAGTGCTTTGCCGTTAGACTGAAAAATAGAAACGTCAAAGTTTGTCAGTTTAAGTTATCACTCATTAAAATATATGTTATCACAATTTCTTCTTTTATTAAGGAATCCGCAACAATGACAAATGCTCAAATCTTATTTTTTACGTCACCGTTACTGCTCTGCGTTCTTAGCACATTCATATTATTAGCAACACCTCAGAGATTGATTCAGGTAATTTTTATTTTTGTATTGTTATAATTTGGTTTTAAATGAGAAAATTTAAAAAAAAAAAGCAGAAATTCACTGAAAATTTTTTATGCATTTGACGACGACTTGGGCAAAAACGATCAAATTCCCAATGAAGAAAACATGGATGAATTTGATGAAGATATTGAACTTATGCGAGATGGTATCATTACTATTGAAAGTTCATCGTGGAATGCTACCACAGAGATAGACAGAATTCTGCTAAACGGACTTTTAGAGGAAGGATATATCAATGAAACAATGCTGCCATGGAAGCAAGTTTCTGCGAAATTTTTTGTCGAATAAAATTGAAATTTGTTATTGTCAATATAAAATGGTTTTTGCTTCACTGCGATTCCATGTAAGTAAACTGTGAACGCTGTCTTATTTGCACTGCTTAATGAGACTTTTGTTGCAGCAGTGGTCGACCAATTGTGATTCGAGTTTTTTGGGTAGTCAGGGCTCAGAATTTTGCACAACTTCTCGGCTTTGAAGTCTTGCAAGAAATAATGTTGTAAAATTCTGTGACATTTGTTGCTGAATAAAATTGAGATTTGTTATAATAACACATATATAATCCTGCATTATATTTAAGTATATATCATGCGCATATGTTAAGTTTAAATATTTATCAGTATGTTGCGGATGTGTTTCGAATATACCACAATAATTCTGTAACAATTACTAACTTATTTACACGACGAATTTTTAATTTCAAACTATATTCTGCACATCAACAAATGAATTTTGTTTGTTTCAAATTGACATAGGAAATTGGGAAGTGGCAGTAGAAAGCGGTAGAAAAATAGGCAACTGGTGGCAAATAGTGGTAAATGACAGATAATTTTATCAATTTTTTTTTGACATGCTTTCATGCTTCAATGTATGCTGTCATACAATTTTGGTATCACTTGCTGCTACTTGCATTCAGATTCATTTAAATTTGAATCATTCAATACTAGAAAAATGTACGGTACTTTATAATTTTGCTTAACATACATGTTTTTATAGCCATCTGCACTAATGCTCGCGTGGTGGTTTTTCTATGTCTAACCATCAGTATTTTCGGTATTACATTTCGCCAAAAATACACACAATTAAACTAAGTAAGTAACAGTAACAAAAAAAAAAATATGCAAATAATGCAAATAATAATAAAATAATAAAAATAAATAAAAAATTGAACGTTAATATGGAGACATGCTTTAAAAAATTAAAAAAAGAAAGGAATAAAAAGTGAAAAGAGAATTAAGATTTAGTCAATAAGAGGCATGAAATGAGTGAAGTTTACAAAAAATGTAAAAAAAATAGATTTCTTAAAATGACAAATATAATAGATTGCAAAATGGTATGAAAATAAAATTTTTTTCAAGAAAAACATGCAAAAGTGAAATCAATGATAAAAAGAAAGAAAAGGTGAGTTACTAATCAAGGAAGATATTAGTAGTGTTATTGTTTTAAGAAAAAAATAGCTAATTTAATAGAAAATTACGAAAAAAAGTCAGGTTATTGCAATAAAAAAACTATGAATTCTTCGACATTTTAAAAACAAATTCTTCAAAGAAATCAGAGTAAAAAACTTTAAGCATTATATGCTTAAATTATATGCTTACTCATAACCATGAGTAAAAATACACCTGTTGCAGTTAAAACTACTATCACAAAAAACAAAAAAAAAAGAGGACAGAAATAAAAACGAGGACTAATGACACTGAAAGTTAAATAATCTATAAAAAATGAAAAACGAAATGTAGATAATAAATAGAACGGATTTCATAGACTGTTTTGCCACTAATATCAAATATTTAGGTATAAATAATAAGGAAGAGAGGAAAAAAAAAACAACGAATGTTTTCGATCGATTGTTGGGCTTTAATAATAATTTTAAGTAAATGAGAATATTTTTATTGTATAAATGTTTTACTTACAGCTACAATTAAAAGGTCAATAAAGCTTAAATATGTAAAATACAAAAATATCAATGTATAAGTTAGGGAACACCGAAACGTGCATGACATCAAAATCCCCACCAAAAGCTCTCTCATTCAGTAATACTGCCTATGAGTGATTTCACGATAAGTAGAACAAAGGAATTTTCTGTTTGATGGCATTAAAGCTGTTATAATATCTCCAATGATCAGTGCTTTACTTTTGTGATTTCGAGTGATCTCCAATGATCAGTGCTTTACTTTTGTGATTTCGAATGATCGCCAATGATCAGTGCTTTGCTTTTGTGATTTCGAGTGATCTCCAATGATCAGTGCTTTACTTTTGTGATTTCGAGTGATCGCCAATGATCAGTGCTTTACTTTTGTGATTTCGAATGATCGCCAATGATCAGTGCTTTACTTTTGTGATTTCGAATGATCGCCAATGATCAGTGCTTTACTTTTGTGATTTCGAATGATCGCCAATGATCAGTGCTTTACTTTTGTGATTTCGAATGATCGCCAATGATCAGTGCTTTTCTTTTGTGATTTCGAATGATCGCCAATGATCAGTGCTTTACTTTTGTGATTTCGAATGATCGCCAATGATCAGTGCTTTACTTTTGTGATTTCGAATGATCGCCAATGATCAGTGCTTTACTTTTGTGATTTCGAATGATCGCCAATGATCAGTGCTTTACTTTTGTGATTTCGAATGATCGCCAATGATCAGTGCTTTACTTTTGTGATTTCGAATGATCGCCAATGATCAGTGCTTTACTTTTGTGATTTCGAATGATCGCCAATGATCAGTGCTTTACTTTTGTGATTTCGAATGATCGCCAATGATCAGTGCTTTACTTTTGTGATTTCGAATGATCGCCAATGATCAGTGCTTTACTTTTGTGATTTCGAATGATCGCCAATGATCAGTGCTTTACTTTTGTGATTTCGAATGATCGCCAATGATCAGTGCTTTACTTTTGTGATTTCGAATGATCGCCAATGATCAGTGCTTTACTTTTGTGATTTCGAATGATCGCCAATGATCAGTGCTTTACTTTTGTGATTTCGAATGATCGCCAATGATCAGTGCTTTACTTTTGTGATTTCGAATGATCGCCAATGATCAGTGCTTTACTTTTGTGATTTCGAATGATCGCCAATGATCAGTGCTTTACTTTTGTGATTTCGAATGATCGCCAATGATCAGTGCTTTACTTTTGTGATTTCGAATGATCGCCAATGATCAGTGCTTTACTTTTGTGATTTCGAATGATCGCCAATGATCAGTGCTTTACTTTTGTGATTTCGAATGATCGCCAATGATCAGTGCTTTACTTTTGTGATTTCGAATGATCGCCAATGATCAGTGCTTTACTTTTGTGATTTCGAATGATCGCCAATGATCAGTGCTTTACTTTTGTGATTTCGAATGATCGCCAATGATCAGTGCTTTACTTTTGTGATTTCGAATGATCGCCAATGATCAGTGCTTTACTTTTGTGATTTCGAATGATCGCCAATGATCAGTGCTTTACTTTTATGATTTCGAGTGTTCGCCAATGATCAGTGCTTTACTTTTGTGATTTCGAATGATCGCCAATGATCAGTGCTTTACTTTTGTGATTTCGAATGATCGCCAATGATCAGTGCTTTACTTTTGTGATTTCGAATGATCGCCAATGATCAGTGCTTTACTTTTGTGATTTCGAATGATCGCCAATGATCAGTGCTTTACTTTTATGATTTCGAATGATCGCCAATGATCAGTGCTTTACTTTTGTGATTATTTCGAGTGATCGCCAATGATCAGTGCTTTACTTTTGTGATTTCCAATGATCGCCAATGATCAGTGCTTTACTTTTGTGATTTCGAATGATCGCCAATGATCAGTGCTTTACTTTTGTGATTTCGAATGATCGCCAATGATCAGTGCTTTACTTTTGTGATTTCGAATGATCGCCAATGATCAGTGCTTTACTTTTGTGATTTCGAATGATCACCAATGATCAGTGCTTTACTTTTGTGATTTCGAATGATCGCCAATGATCAGTGCTTTACTTTTGTGATTTCGAATGATCGCCAATGATCAGTGCTTTGCTTTTGTGATTATTTCGAATGATCGCTAATGATCAGTGCTTACCTTTGTGATTATTTCGAGTGACCACCGATGGTCACTCCTTTACTTTTGTAATTAAAGTAATAATCGCATATTCTTTTTAATAATTTCATCACATTTGCTGTAATCCTAATAACACACTGCACTTATAGACAATGTAAATATAACGAATCATTTGTAAAACTATAACTTTTAGATGATCGTTACTTTTTATATAATAAGAGTTGGGTTGAAATATTTCAGCTTCAACATTTAATGTGTTTTGACGTACATACATTTATCAATTTAAACTGAAATCATTTAAAGACGGTAATAAAACTTAAAGTTATTAACAAAAAATTACGGTCAAGAAGGACAATTTTTTCAGATAAATTTAGCAAAAAGCTAAGTCAATTTCATTAGATTAATTTAAATTAAATCTGTCGGAACTGTTTGAGTAATTTTTATTAATTTGTTAGTTTTTAAACTTTGTGCTGTTCAGATGATTCAGATGTGCTAGACGGATTTTTATAGAAAGAATAAATCAATGAAAAAATGCTATCGTGGAACTAAGTTAGTAAGTTGAAGTAAGGCGGTTATTGTTGAATTGAAATTTGTTATTGTCAATATTCTCAACATAAAATGGTTTTTGCTTCAGTACGATTGATTTCAATTTCCATTTTGCAATCATTCAAATAACTGAGAAAGTGGATCATTTCAAGCCTATTTCAGCTATTTTTCAAAAGTACTTTGCATGTATTAAATCTAAGTAACCTTTGCATACATATCAACATTTATATACTTCTCTATGCATTCCCTTGTAGTAAGGAAGACATTCCTTTTTTTTTTTTTTTAAATATCAAAGTTGCTATGAATTTTGTCCACTGTAATCTTTAATGAAAATAAAAAAAATTTTTATTGCTAATTTTTTGTTGAGCTGTCTCTATCGAAATATGAAATAACTGTTTAACATGCAAATCCTTTTATTCTATTCAAGCACATAAAAAATTTTTTAAATAAATGGCAATGATTTCTGGTGATAACCTGCATAATTTCATATAAATTAACTGGTAAGTAGAGTTTTTTGTCAAGAAATTTCCAAATTCATTTTTTATCCCTTTCGGAATCTCGTAACCTTTTCGCTTGAATTTTTAAACAATTTAAAAAAGAATTTAGGAATGGGAAATTTTGCATTTATTCTCGAAATTATTTGACAAAAACCATCATAATTTTTATTTTTGCATACTTACTTATTCTTTTAAATTATAGCATATTTGAACAAAATAGGGATTATTTAACTAAAAAGAGAAACGGAATTGATTTCAAATTGTGTCAATCGGAGTGATAATGGAATTCATGAAATATAATTTATCAGTGCTTTGCCGTTAGACTGAAAAATTGAAACGTCAAATTTATCAGTTTAAATTACCACTCATTAAAAAATATGTTATCACAATTTCTTCTTTCATTAAGGAATCCATAAACGTTCCGCAATAATGACAAATGCGCAATTCTCATTTTTTACGTCACCGTTACTGCTCTGCGTTCTTAGCACATTCATATTATTAGCAACACCTCAGAGATCAATTCCGGTAATTTTTGTAACTCCATATCGGTAATTTTATAATTCCATATCAAATTCACGACACGATCATTGGATCATGTCGTGAATTTGAACTTTTTCATCAGAAGAGGAGATGATTTAGGTTAGTTAAGTTCAGTTCGTAGAACTTGAACTGAAACTTTTGCTTCTTATCTGCGAGCGAGATCGACTCAAGTATGATTTATTTTTTTTATAAATGTGAATCGATACAATATGCGGTCGAATAATTGAAATAGCAAAGAATGAATGGTACTATTGAAGAGGGGGAAGAGAAGACTGTCACCGATCTTTTCTTTTTTATTAACTGCTTAGAGAAGATTTTTAGAGATGTGGGAAGTGGGGACTGGCTTAGCAGATTAACATTCACAATGAAGATAGATGTACATTCACTATTTGAGGTTTAGACAAAGAATTCATTGTTTCAAAAAAAAAAAAAAAAAAATGGGATATAACAAAGGAATAACGAGATAACGAATTGGTTTATAGCGATGAATTATTAGCATTATTCTAAACAGCGTGTAGTAAAATTTTTTCGGTTTTTCGACAGATCGTAGTGAGTGAGTCGTATAGAACGAAACATTTTGGTTTTAAATGAAAAAATTTAAAAAAAAAAAAGCAGAAATTCACTGGAAATTTTTTATGAATTTGACGACTTGGTCGAAAACGATGAAATTCCCAGTCAAGAAAACACGGATGAATTTGATGAAAACGTTGAATTTATGCAACAAGATATTATTTCTATTGAAAGTTCATCGTTGGATACTACCACACAAAATGACAGAATTGTGCTAAGCGGTCTTTTAGAGTTCGGATACATTAATGAGACAATGCTACCGTGGAAGTAAGTTTCTGCGACATTTTTTGTTGAATAAAATAGAAATTTGTTATTGTCAATATAAAATGATTTTTGCTTCACTGCGATTCCATATAAGTAAACTGTTGACGCTGTCTTATTTGCACTGCTTAATGATACTTTTGTTGCAGCAGTGGTCGACCACTTCTGGTTAAAATTATTTGGGGAACTGAGGCTCACAATGCTGGTGAATTTGTCGACTTTGAAGTCTTGTAAGAAACTTAATGTTGTAAAATTCTGTGACATTTGTTGCTGATTAAAATTGAGATTTGTTATAATAACACATATATAATCCTCCATTATATTTAAGTATATATCATGCGCATATGTTAAGTTTAAATATGTATCAGCATATTGCATATGTGTTTCAGAATGATTCCGTAATTCTTAATTAACATATTTAATGTGTTTTATATATGTATATGATGCGCTAAAATTAAGAATTTTTTTAAAGACCAAAAGTAGAGTTGGAATTTGAAAATAGTAGTTTTAATTGATCAATTTAATTCTCGTTTCATTACTTCAACCATAGTATTATTTCTTGATTTGATGCTTCTCTTTGTATTTGCTAATGCTTTCTTTTCAGTTTCATGGTTTTTCGTTTTTATTATTTGAATGCATTTTTTTGTTTAAATTTAGCAACGTAAAACAAATTTGCAGTGAACGAAAAGATAGAAAGAATATGAATTGCTTGGAATAATTTTTTAGCAATTAATTTTGCAAATTTTAAAGGATAGAGTTGTCATCGTTAATGCCACATGGTTTGTGCTAACGTTATCATTATACCCAATGACTAAGTCGTATACGTTAAAGTTCTGAGAAAATTTACATAAACTTTTCTTTTCTTGAGAATTCTCGAAAAGTCTCATTTTTAACGTCTCATTCAATACGATCACGATAACAAATGATTTCACAAAAATTATCACAATTAATCAGAGATGTTGCTAATAATATGAGTTTATAGAGAATTCAAAAAAAAAGTACTGATCGAAAAAAAAAATTCCACTTTTCTTTGTTGTGGGACGTTTTAAGTTCGACGAGCCACTAAAGCACTATTTTTCAGCCTAACAAACTGGTAATTTAGTTTTGCAAAAAAAAAAAAAATTAATATTTTGCTAATCTGAACAATGAGGCTTGCCAATTCTTTTTGCCGAAATGAAGAATGGAAACATGATGAATTTAGTTACAAATTTTAAAATTTTTCAAATGAAAAAAGTTTCTGTGATGACGGTTCTTGCTAAATTTGCAGCGGAGCTTACATTGTATTACATATAATTCCGACGATAACTCCCTTTCAGCTAAAAAGCATTTTAATTGGATATTGCATCGGCTTGAAATGGTCCGCTTTCTCAATTATTTGAATGATAGAAAAATGGAAATTAAAATCAACCGTACTGAAGCAAAAACCATTTTATGTTGAGAATATTGACAATAACAAATTTCAGTTTTATTCAACAAACGTCACAGAATTATCACAAGACTTCAAGGGCGAATATTTCATCAACACTAGCTCCCCAATAAACTTTAATCAGAAGTGGTCGACCACTGCTGCAACAAAAGTATCATTAAGCATTACAAACAAGACAGCGTTCACAGTTTACTTACATGGAATTGCAGTGAAGCAAAAACCATTTTATATTGACAATAACAAATTTCAATTTTATTCAACAATAAACTTCACAGAAACTTACTTCCATGGTAGCATTGTTTCATTGATATATCCTTCCTCTAAAAGCCCATCTAGTACAACTCTTTCATCATCTGTGGCGGTATTCCATGATAAACTTTCAATAGAAATAATATCTTGGTCTTGTTGCATAAATTCATTGTTTTCATCAAATCCACCCACGTTTTCTTGACTGGGAATTTCATCGTTTTCGCCCAATTCGTCGTCAAATGCATAAAAAATTTTCAGTGAATTTCTGCTTTTTTTAAAATTTTTTCATTTAAAACCAAATTATAGCAATATAAAAATAAAAATTACTGGAATTGATCTCTGAGGTGTTGCTAACAATATCAGTGTGCTGAGAACGCAGAGCAGTAACGGTGACGTAAAAAATAAGATTTGCGCATTTGTCATTGTTGCGGAGCGCTTATTGATTCCCTTGATGAAAGAAGAAATTGTGATTAAAATATAAACGCCGTTATATATTTTAATGAGTGATAATTTGAACTGATAAACTTTGAAGTTGCCATTTTTCAGTCTAACGGAAAAGCACTGGTAAATTATCACGCTGATAGACGCATTACAACTTGTCAGTTGTTTTACTTATCAAATATAAAATGAATTTGAAATCAGTTTTGTTTCTCTTTTAAGTTAAATAATCTTTGTTTTGTCAAATACACTATAATTTCAAAAAAAAAAAATAAATAAATAAATAAAATAAAAAATGCTAAATAATTCTGAGAATGCACAATTTCGTTATCCCAACTTTTTTGAAAAATTGTTTTCAAAAAAAAAACGATAAAAAATAAATTTGCAATTTTTTTCGAGAAAAAGTCTATTTACCAGTTAATTTGTATGAAATTGTGGAGAATAACTGAGCATTGTTACAAATTCACTAAAGTTCACTATCATATTAAAAAATTCATTGCCATTTTAAAAAAAAATATTTATTATGTGTTTGAGTAGAATAAAATGATTGGCATGTTAAACGATCATTCCATGTTTCCAATAGAGACAATTCGACAAAAATTTAACAATAAAATCTTTTGTTTTTTTCCAATAGAAATGACATTGATCAAAAGTTATAACAACTTTGCTGTTTATTCATTACAAAAAAAAAGAAAAAACTTTTTGTTGTAGCATTTGCATTTAGTAGAGATTATTTAGCTCAAAAAAAAGAGAAAAAGACCAAATTAACATTTTTCTGTGCAGCAAATTTTTTTTTTGCTCATTTTTTTATTTCTACAAAGCAATTGGTAAGCCTTAGTGTCCAAATTAGCATAATGTCAAAATTGTTACAAATTTTATTTATCAGTCCTTTCAAGTTAGCCTAAAAGGGACATCGAATCACACTAAATTTCAATCACTAAGTTATTAAATTACAAATTATATTTGAACTTCTCATCTTTTCTTTCATTAAGTCAAAACATTAAGGTATCGAATTTCGGAACGATGAGAATCGCACAATTTCCACTTTTCATATCACCATTATCTTTTTGCATTATCGGTGCACTAGCATTATTAGCAATGTCGCAAAGATGTGCTCCGGTAATTTTTATCAACCTTATACCAATCAAATATATTGATCACATTGAAAAAAAGTAAACAATAAAAATTTTTTCAAGGAATTTTCAATAAAATGGAACTAAATCTTATACCATCTTTAAAATTACAGTTTATTCAAAAATTTTCAGAGCATTAACAGAGATAACTTAAATCATGAAGATGGTGATGACGGTAACATAAACGATAATGGTAACAATAATGTTAATGGTGATAATGGCAATATCAACAACGTTAATGACAACAATAATTTTCTCCAGCAGCAAAGATATGATGAAGCTCTTTCCATTGAAGGCTTATCTTGGGATGATATTACGGAAGAGGAAAGAGATATTCTTATGTCATTGCTACTTAACCGATATATTAATGCATCAATGCTACCGTGGAAGTAAGTTTAACTTCTTTGACTTTTTTTGTAAGTAAAAATATCATTCCTTGTATCGCATAATTTTTTTTTTTTTTTTTTATTGCAGTAATGATGGTATACCTGTTGTGGTCAATGTTATTAGAAGTGCTTTACCTCGCAATTATGGCCAATTTATCGGCTATACTGGCCTATTGGAGCTTTAAGCTTATTTATGCTCATATATTAATTTCATAAAATTTGATATTTATTGTTGAATAAAACTGAAAGACTGAATTTGTTGTTGTTAACATTTTTACTTCAGTGCAATTAATTTTAGCTTTTATTTTGAATTTATCTATCATAGTTTAAAATGATATACAATGAAGGAAAGGAAACATTCACTGCTTTGTTAATTAATTTATTTGACCCGAGCAATTTTAATTCGACGATATGTGACAACTAATTTTTGGTATCACTTCACTATCATTAAGGAAAAATAAAATATCAGAAAGAATCTAGAGTAATTTTTCGACTTATTTCTAAAAATTTTTAACCCCAAAAATCTTCTAATATTTATTAAATTTAAAATGCAAATTCCATATCGCACTACTAATAGAAATTTATTTTGGTGGACAAATTATGTAAATATGATTGTAAATAATCAGCAATATGTTTATTTTAGCTAACAGATAATAAGTGCTAATCAAAACTATATTGAAAATATATTTGCTTCGCGTCAAAGCATGAAAAATTGAAGTATAATCAAATATTGCGTAAGGACATATTTATAATTAATATAATTTAAATGATGGTGTTATCTGGAAAAGCAGTTGAAATTAAATTGTTGCATAAAAATAAAGAAATATATGTACAAAAGTTATTTTCTTCATGTAATGATGAATGAATTCATTTATTATCCTAAATGTTTCCTTCTCGAAACAAAAATATTTCAAGAAAAGAATACACCGGAATAATAATTTTAAATGTATGCTAAAATGTAGTTTCTTTCATTTTCATATTATTCATCAACTTTTTTTTATTTAAATGATATTGTGAACGACAGTGCTCGAATTTGCCTCCTTTTCGAAAATTCTCAGGATTTACTGGTTCGCATTCACCGGAACATGTGCGTGGATAAATAAGAAACCTGAATATAAAAGAATAATAAGTCTGAAATAATAAACAAATATTTCAACATCCTTTTTTTATCTTTAAAATTAGTTTTTGAGTAAAACTACAGCTGAAAAGCTATTTGAAGAAGTACAAAAACCTCAAGTTTCGTGTATCGGTGATCATTGTTAGATGAAACAAAGCATTAGAAATAATTAATATGTATTCGCATAAGGCCTGATAAGGTGGCACTGAAAATAAAATAACTGAAATTAAAATTTATCATTTGATTTTAAAAGATTTTAGAATAAAATACACTTGAAATTTAAAAGAAAAAGGGTCGAAATAAATTCGTACTAAATTAAATTAAGTATAAATCATAGTATTTGATTTTCACTCTCTTATTTTATGTGAACAATCTGCCATTTTATCATTTTACTTAGTGTAAATAAGCATACTTTGATAGTCAAAGTATTTAACAGAATGAACAAAATTGATATTAGCTCGTTTCAGATCATTTCAATTTAATATATCATTCACAAACTTTATTTGTATTGAATGTTGAAACAACTAGCAATAATTATTTTTAAATTGTCAATCATTTCGTTGTTAATTTTTCTAACCAGGTTATTCAATTAAGTTAAATAATTAAATTACTAGCTTATTATTTATTTGATTATTTCATAGGTTAGTTGCTAATTAAACGTTTATAATCAAACAAACCATAATAGTGACATGTGGGTGAATCGATAAATGTATTATGGAAAATAGTCACTTGTGGTGTTACTATACCAAATGTGATCAAACATAATAATTTGACTATTATCGATATTTGATCAATTGTCTGAAAATATGATATCTACTAAAATTTGATAGCAGTAAAAGCTAAAGATAATAATAAAGTTTATTATTTTGAATTTTAGAGCAAAGCGAATGAATGAAAATGATAACAATGGTAATTATTTTTATTGTATTATAATTAATTTTCTCTTTTTTAATTTATTTCAACAAAATGAAAATTGTGACTGTCAAAAATTTAAAATTCTGCATTTTACATATTATGAAATTAATTGTCATCCTCTAATTAGTGTTAAAATAAATGAACTTATTAACAAGAAGAAGAAACTTTACTGTTTAAAAATAATGCATGTAAATTAGATTTTTTGAAAAAAAATTCTAAAATTCTGTATAAAAATTGAAAATTTTACACAAATTTCTGAATTTTAAAATCTTTATTTTTTCAAAAATAAGTCACCTGGTTTTTTTCATTTCTTCGATAAATTGTTACTGCAGTACATGCGGTCATATGTAACAGAGCACTGATTATAAATAAATTAAACGATATTTTATATAAAACTGAAATTTGAAAAAATTTTTAACACTTGGAATATGTATAAAATATTGCTTACAAGACGAATAAAATAATAATAATAATAATTCATCTTTTTCAAAATATATAATTTGTTTTTTTTATCCTTTCATAACTAAATATGATAAATAAAAGTTAGATCAAAAATATTGCCTAAAACACTAATAAAGAAAAAAAAAGGCATACTTTGATAATCTTGACGAATGGTATTTATTGTAAAAAGTGTACAGAAGGAAATTTCAAATAAAAGTAAGATTGGAACAGCAATATTACACCAACGATACCATAACCATTCCTTGGTATGTGGACAAAAGCGCTCATTAATAATAGCATTTAAATAACTTTGAAATAATCGAAGCGATGTTGGAATACAAACTGCTATACGAAATGATACATTTGCTTGCACAGTAAGTTCAAGTAATCGAAGTACTGATGGAAGATACCAGTCAGGTATCATAGTTGATGTCGAATTCTATAATATCGTTTTTTTGATAAATCATTTCATTTCTGATTCCATCTTTTCTTTTTTTTTTTTTGAACATCGTATCTCTAATATATTATGCAAAATATTATTTCTAATCGCACTTTTTTGAAATTATTTGAAATTTTTATTTAAATTTAATACTTACTATTATTTAATACTTACCACTTTAGATATTATTTTTTTTTTTCATTAATATTGCAATTCAAAGTCTAAATGAGTTAGTAATTTTATTTTGTTTATTTTATTTTAAATTTCTATCAAATATTTCAATAACAAACCATGCAATATTTTGAGTACCATCCTGATGCAAATAACCAAGATGGTATGCTTCCATCTTCTTTTCGTTTAGTGTCATAGAAATGACCTAGAATTGTCCCAACCAAAATAGCTGCAATGCTAATTACTGCAAAGATTGATGATGGTAACAGAAGACGACAATTTATGTATGATAGATCATCATTGATATCTTCCATATCTTTGTCATCTGAATAGTATTATTTTTTCATTAAATAACTAATCAAAAAAATTTTTTCTTATAAATTATTACTTTGATAATTATTTCCAATATTTTATTCACAAATTTTTTTTTTTTTTTTAAGAGATAAATCAAAATTCATTTGAGTAATTTGAGCAAATTCTGATCAATGATATAACTAAAAGTAATGAATTAACGAATTTACTGCATTGTTTTTTTTCTTGCCCTTTCGATGAAACTTGGAAATCTTGCATATTAAAAGTTTGCACATTTAACAGAGATAATCAATGTTAACGAGTCCTGTCCATTTCTAAAATCGAATTAGTTTTTTTTTTTTAAAAACAATATTTTCAGCCTTTTTTTTTAAAACAAATCTATTATTCCTTCGATTAAACGTAACATTTTCATTTACAAATTTCTATGAGATAATTGATCTGATTGAAATAGTACAATTTCTTAATAGAATAATATCAATTTAATAAACTAAATTTTTAAAAAACAGAAAACCATTTGCAACTGATAATGCACTATTACAAAGTTAATTAATAAAATATAATCTAATTGAAAAAGTTAAATTCAATATTTATAATCATTAATAGCTCAGTATTTATGACAATGTAATATAATAGAAAACTAAAATTCATTAGGCTCAGAAGCTAATAAATAGCTAAATATAATTTTAGTGAATTGAAAAAATATAAATTTGTGTTGAATTAAATTTAATAAAAATACAATCATTTAAGAGCGGATGATTGCAGAATGAAATATGTTACAACCGGTTTTCAATGCTCTTATCAGTACATTGCTATTTATTCTTTAGTCTTTGCTTTTTCCTACATTTTTTTTTTCTTAAGGAATTGAATTATAATATTTCTTGTAAAGAAAATATTAAGAAAATAAGGTAATAAGTGTTGAAATATAATATCTGATGAGTTAATTAATTGCTAAAGACTTGATTTTTTAATCAACTACGTAGTAAAATTCAAACACTTAATTTTTATTTGACTTATTTCAGTTTTTTTTTAAGATTATTTTGTTTCAAATTTATTTTGCACAATCATCATTTAATTTTAAATATGTTAAATTCATTCGAATTTTAATGAATGTTCCTTATAATGTCGAAAAAAATTAACGACTTTGTTTAAAATATATTTTGATATGAATAATAATGAATAATCTGTATTCAACTTTCTTTTTTTTTCCTTTTTGGGACTAAATTTTCATAGTTCAAAGTCTTTTGAAGCAGTAATAATTGCGAAAAATGAGAATATAAACCTTCTAAATTTATAGCTTCAAAAAAAAAAAAAACTCGAAAATATTTAAAATCTCATTGTCGTTTATTTTTTTCCATTTGTTTACTGCATTAGCTAAATTATTGTTATCAAATAATGTCCCAACCTTTCAACCACTTAATTTCAAATCATTTAATTTCAAGATAAAATTATAATATTTTGAAACCAATTTCGTTTTAAGAATAACCTTATTGCAAACTAGTTATACACAAAGACAACAATACAAATAAAGCATATATTAAGAAGACATTATAAGTCAAGTAAATATTACGTGTAACAAATTATTACGTGTAAAAACGTGTAAAATTACTACAGTGACGAAAAAAATTATTGCGAATTACATAGATATTTAGTAAGTGATACTGAAATAACGTAGAAGAAACTAATAAAATATTTTGTCAATAAAAAAAAAAAAAAACCTTTGATAATAATCAAACTGTTTAGAAATTGTTAAAAGAACTTACTAGCATTTAATTTAATCTTGTTTGTCTTAACTTATATTTTACAAATCTGTTATTTGAATCAAATTTCAAATTTCACATATTTTGAAATTTCTTCGAATTTAAATATTTCTAACAAACAATTAAAAAGTGCACAGCAATGAGTAAACATAATAAATAGTCGAAGATACATCCTTTCCTACCCTATTTTCTTCTTTTATGTGTAAGTCAAATATTTAAAAATGGGTCAGATTTTGCAGTTACCATTTTCGTCAATTATTAATCCTCCTTTGATCTCTTCATTTTCATTATAGATCCTTTAAACCATATTACAATTATCTATTAAAAATGTGATTAATTCTTACCATAGAGATTATTTAATTTTTAAATTTTGAAAAAATTTCAATGGATTTTTTTTCTTGTTTTAATTTTCTAATGTTAAAGGAGAAAGAAAGCCCATTTTTTTTTTTTTTTTTGCATTAAAAAATTCATCTCTACAACTTTAAATCGATTATCATATGAAAGTTATTATCTTCATGACTTAAATGTTTTTTTTTATAAGTGTAAGCTTCTATTACTCCTAAATATTGGGTAAAAATTATTTATTTAAAACTATGATAAATTTCTATAGTACAAAACAATATGGGAAAAAAAAAAACTTTTCCTGTGTCTTAGCTATTTGAAATAAGGAAAGAATTAGTTTTGTTTAATGTGAGGAATGTCATATTCAGCAAATGAATAAATAGTTCTTTTTTTATTGAAAAAAAAATTGAAAAAAATCATTGCATAATTTTAACTTGAAAGACTGAACAAAAGATTTTTGCTTTTTTTGCTACATCAAAATTATACTCTCATTTCTGGTCTGATCATTTTTGTTACCAAAAAAGGTTATAAAATCTTAAATATATTATGAGATCTAAATTGAAATCATCTTATTTCCAGAATTATCCAATTTTTATCAACCTAATATTTTCTAAATTTCAAGTGATATATTTGTCTCATTTCTAAGATCAACTTTTTTTTTTAATGAAATCATCCTTGTTTCATTCTTTCATGCTTTATAATTACCAATATTTGATTTTTCGTTTATTTTTTTCTTTTTATTATTTTTACATCAATTTTTTTTTTCTGCCCGTAATTGAAAGTTGAAAAAGAAATTACATTCTATTTTACAAAATAAGCTAATATATTTTAAGTAAAAGAAATGAAAACAAAAAAAAAAATGTTGCAAAATCTTTGATTTTTTGAATTAATTTGAATTAAATACAATTCTCCTCGATTTTTAAACTAACCCAAATTCCTTTTCTTTCATTTTTCCTCTTTCTACTATCTAACTTTGCTGTTTCATTCCTTTTGTTTACATGAATAACACAATGAACATTTCACCTAAATGAAATTTGCCATTAATCAATAATTTAAAATCAATGTTCCTTCTATTCTCTGAATGGAGAAGGCATACAATCTTGCATTTTCTTTCACAAATATAGAAAGAAATTCATTCATTTGCAAAAAACTTCTTTTACTTTTACAAAAGATTTAAAATAAGTACCATTGAAATGATATTTTTTGTCTTTTCCAACCAATTTAAGGTCTTGTCTTTAGCATCAAATCGATTAGCAAAGGTAAACAAAATCATAAGCTGAAAAAATGAACGTACATATTAAGCTGAATCATTTGCATTCATTTCTATTACCTTAAAAGATATATTAATGCTTAGATTTTTTGCTGCTAATATCACCAATGGAAACAAAGAAACAGTAATTCCTTTCATTAAAAGTCTTTTTATGTTATATTCGTTTATCGCTTTAAATTTTCGTCAATATAATGCTCTATAGCAGTATGCGTGACATAAAAGCGATAAATCTTAAAATCTCATTGCTGACTATGCCATTTCACTTGATAAAATGGACGATCCTAAATATCAAATTCATTTGTATAAATCTATTAGAGTTGAGCCCATTAGCTTGAATATTGAATTCGGCTTTTGCATTCTTCGTTGTTTTTTACTGATATCATCATTAAATTTATCTTGTTGAAATTCTAACTGCCAAGTTTGTTGGTGTATTTAACCATTTTGTTAAATTAAAGGTTTGATTATTGAACTTTGAGTTTGAAAAATCAAAAAAGACTAAAGTAGTAGTATTAAGCCTTTCAGTCCTTGTCATGATTGGGAAGAAATCGACTTAAAAGATTTTATAATACGCTTTATGTTTTAATTGTTGCTGTTATCGACTTTGATTACCGTGAACGAATTTCAGAATGCAAATGATGGGAGACAAGATGATCGATGTTTTTTGTTTATTAAAGTGATAGCTAGAAAATTATTCAAACGGTAAATTTCTTTCTTGAATGCAAGAAATGCACTAGAAATCTTTCCATGTCAACTTTATGCAATTTTCTATGTATTTTGAAACAAACAAAATTCAATTTTTGATGTGCAGAACATAGTTCGACATTAAAAAAAAAAAAACACATACGCAACATACTGATAAATATTTAAACCTAACATATATGCATGATATATACTTAAATATAATGCAGGATTATATATGTGTTATTATAACAAATCTCAATTTTATTCAGCAACAAATGTCACAGAATTTTACAACATTAAGTTTCTCGCAAGACTTCAAAGCCGAGAAGTTGAGTAACATTCTGAGCCCTAGTTATCCAAAAAATTTTAATCAGAAGTGGTCGACCACTGCTGCAACAAAAGTATCATTAAGTAGTGCAAATAAGACAGCGTCAACAGTTTACTTATATGGAATCGCAATGAAGCAAAAATCATTTTATGTTGACAATAACAAATTTTAATTTTATTCAACAAAAAATGTTGCAGAAACTTATTTCCACGGTAGCATTGTTTCATTAATGCATCCTAACTCTAAAAGTCCGCTTAGTATAGCTCTTTCATCATCTGTGATGATATTCCACGATGAACTTTCAATAGAAATGATACTATCTCGCATAAGTTCAATATCTTCATCAAATTCATCCATGTTTTCTTGATTGGGAATTTCATCGTTTTCGTCCAAGTCGTCGTCAAATGCATAAAAAATTTCTGTTTTTTTTTTAAAATTTTTCATTTAAAACCAAATTATAACAATACAAAAATAAAAAATACCTGAATTAATCTCTCAGGTGTTGCTAATAATATGAATGTGCTAAGAACGCAGAGCAGTAACGGTGACGTAAAAAATGAGAATTGCGCATTTGTCATTGTTGCAGAGCGCTTATTAATTCCTTAATAAAAAAAGAAATTGTGATAAAAATATAAACGCTATTGTATATTTTATGAGTGATAATTTAAACTGATAAACTCTGACGTTTCTATTTTTCAGTCTAACGGCAAAACACTGATAAATTATATTTTATGAATTCCATTATTACACCGATTGACACAATACAGCTTGTCGATTGTTTTATTTAATAATACTTATTAAATATTCAATGAATTTGAAATCAATTCCGTTTCTCTTTTTAGCTAAATAATCCCTATTTTGTTCAAATATGCTATAATTTAAAAGAATAAGTAAGTATGCAAAAATAAAAATTATGATGGTTTTTGTCAAATAATTTCGAGAATAAATGCAAAATTTCCCATTCCTAAATTCTTTTTTAAATTGTTTAAAAATTTGAGCAAAAAGGATACGAGATTCCGAAAGGGATAAAAAATGAATTTGAAAATTTTTTAACAAAAAACTCCACTTATCAGTTAATTTATATGAAATTATGCAGGTTATCACCAGAAATCATTGCCATTTATTTAAAAATTTTATCATGTTTGAATAGAATAAAAGGATTTACATGTCAAACAATGATTCCATGTTTCGATAGAGATAATTAAACAAAAAAATTTTTTTTTATTTCCATTAAAGATTACAATGGTCAAAATTCATAGCAACTTTGATGTTTAAAAAAAAAAAAAATAAATGTCTCCCTTACTACAAGGGAATGCATAGAGAAGTATATAAATGTTGATATGTATGCAAAGGTAACTTAGATTTGATATATGCAAAGTACTTTTGAAAAATAGTTGAAATAGGCTTGAAATGATCCACTTTCTCAGTTATTTGAATGATTGCAAAATGGAAATTGAAATCAATCGTTTATTTGAATGATTGGAAAATGGAAATTGAAATCAATCGTACTGAAGCAAAAGCCATTTTATGTTGAGAAAATTAACAATAACAAATTTCAATTTTATTCAACAGTAACCATCTTACTTCCACGATAGTATCGTTTCATTGGTTTATCCTTTCTTTAAAAATCTGTTTAGTACAGTCCTTTCATCATCTGAAAGAACTTGGCAGTATCCAACAATGAACTTGCAACAGGGTTTTCGGCAAATTCATCCATGTTTCGTTGATTATTGTTGCAACTATCATAAACGATTCTCGAATTTAGCCAAAAGAGATTTACCAGTGCTATACTGAAATGAATGAAAAATATTTAACTAAAAATGCTTTACCAAATTATTTATTACTGAAATAACGATCTGAGTTCGAGGTAAGATTGAACGATTACAAATTTGACAAAAAACACTCTAAGTTAACAACATATTATTATTAGTTAACAATACAAGAAACAAGAAAAAAGATAATAATGATTCATTAGATAATATCTGCACATAATAACTATTATAATACATTATTGTTGTAATAATTTCATTATTATTATTACAGCTATTTTTTTCTTTTTTTAAAAATTTGCAATTTGAGTCAACGGCCGATTAATATATAATAACAAGTGCCACAATAACTTGCGCTACTCTTAAAATATATAATGCAGAATTTGTATAAACGTAATGATAAGTGGAAGCTGTAAAATACAATCGCTAGACTAACTAATGTTATAATGTTAATTTGATATTAATGTAAATGAACGTAAATGAACCTCTAATTAACAAATGGATTAATTCAGGGAAGAATTGTAAATCTCGCAAGTGTCACAAAAAAAGTCACTTCAGAGCCATCTTTTAGATTCAGAGCATCTATAGATTCAGTCTAGTACTTTTAGCTAAATTCCATATTAGTAAGTGTATTATACCATGAATCATATAGAACAATGCAGGATTACTAAAAGAATTAAGAAATTAACAGTGCATAATTTTTTTGGCATTTATTTTGATTTGATCTCATTTTAATTTTTTTATTTGAAATCTTTCTTTTTCCATTAATTTATTTTTCCGTAAAATAATCTAATTAATTAATGGTACTTAATGGGAATAATTTATTTCGTCGTAATTAATCTATTTGATAATTGGAGTGCATTTCTGCGTATATATTAAAATGATGCTGTAATATCTCGCAATTTTCACTCATCACTACAGATTCTAAAATATAAGTTTGAATAGCACAAATTGTAATGCTCTGAAGAAACAAACAAATAAACACGGAATTATTTGCATTACTATGCAGATCAATAAAATAATAATAATAAATATACGAAAAAAAAACATTTTTTTCTTAACTTTTTCAGCAAAAAAATGAAAGTCCCAGAATTGATGAATAGCATAGTTAAATTTTTCTTTTTAGTGATCTGATGATTTTCTACAGCAAATTTTAATAATTTTATTGTTTCATATGAAACAATTTGTCTGTTAATGATCATATATTAATAATTCTTATTTTTTTGATACAAATTTTTATTTCTATCAAAATACAATATAATTATGCTTTTCAAATTATTGAGTGAGTCATCCAACTTATCCAATAAGTTTATTAGCTAACGTCATAAAAACTAAAAATAGAAAATTTCTATAAAATATGCAAATCATTCGAATATATTAGATTGAAGGACACAAATATGAATTGTACAGATTAAAATTATATCGAACTGCCGGTGGTTAATACCAATTAATTATCATTTTTCATTTATCCATCCTCTCACTATCCTGATTTTAACCTCAAATCTCTTTGTCATTCGGCATGAACAACAAGTTGGCGAAAATTACACAAACTGCACAAAGTGTAAAAACTAATAAAAATTACCCAAAGAATTTCGTGAGATTTAATTTAAATTAATCTAATGAAATTAACTTAGCATTTTGCTAAATTTATCTGAAAAAATTGTCCTTCTTGACCGTATAGTAAAAGTGACGAAATAATCAAAAAGAATATGCGATTATTACTTTAATTACAAAGGTAAAGGAGTGACCATCGGTGATCACTCGAAATAATCACAAAAGTAAAGCACTGATCATTGGCGATCATTCGAAATCACAAAAGTAAAGCACTGATCATTGGCGATCATTCGAAATCACAAAAGTAAAGCACTGATCATTGGCGATCATTCGAAATCACAAAAGTAAAGCACTGATCATTGGCGATCATTCGAAATCACAAAAGTAAAGCACTGATCATTGGCGATCATTCGAAATCACAAAAGTAAAGCACTGATCATTGGCGATCATTCGAAATCACAAAAGTAAAGCACTGATCATTGGCGATCATTCGAAATCACAAAAGTAAAGCACTGATCATTGGCGATCATTCGAAATCACAAAAGTAAAGCACTGATCATTGGAGATATTATAACAGCTTTAATGCCATCAAACAGAAAATTCCTTTGTTCTACTTATCGTGAAATCACTCATAGGCAGTATTACTGAATGAGAGAGCTTTTGGTGGAGATTTTGATGTCATGCACGTTTCGGTGTTCCCTAACTTATACATTGATATTTTTGTATTTTATATATTTAAGCTTTATTGACCTTTTAATTGTAGCTGTAAGCAAAACATTTATACAATAAAAATATTCTCATTTAGTTAAAATTAAAAACATGTATGTTAAGCAAAATTATAAAGTACCATACATTTTTCTAGTATTGAATGATTCAAATTTAAATGAATCTGAATGCAAGTAGCAACAAGTGATACCAAAATTGTATGACAGCATACATTGAAGCATGAAAGCATGTCAAAAAAAAATTGATAAAATTATCTGTCATTTACCACTATTTGCCACCAGTTGCCTTTTTTTCTACCGCTTTCTACTGCAGCTTCCCAATTTCCTATGTCAATTTGAAACAAACAAAATTCATTTGTTGATGTGCAGAATATAGTTTGAAATTAAAAATTCGTCGTGTAAATAAGTTAGTAATTGTTACAGAATTATTGTGGTATATTCGAAACACATCCGCAACATACTGATAAATATTTAAACTTAACATATGCGCATGATATATACTTAAATATAATGCAGGATTATATATGTGTTATTATAACAAATCTCAATTTTATTCAGCAACAAATGTCACAGAATTTTACAACATTAAGTTTCTCGTAAGATTTCAAAACCACTAACTTCACCAACTTGTCCCCAAAAAATTTTAACCTGAATTGGTCGACCACTGCTGCAACAAAAGTATCATTAAGCAGTGCAAATAAGACAGCGTCAACAGTTTATCTACATAGAATCATACTGAAGCAAAAAACCATTTTATGCTGAGAATATTGACAATAACAAATTTTAATTTTATTCAACAATAAACCTTACAGAAACTTACTTCCACGGTAGCATTGTTTCATTAATGTATCCGAACCCTAAAAGTGTGTTTAGCAAAAGTCTGTCAATCTGTATGGTAGCATTCCACGATGAACTTTCAATAGTAATGATACTATCTCGCACAAGTTCAATATCTTCATCAAATTCATCCATGTTTTCTTCATCGGGAATTTCATCGTTTTCGCCCAAGTCGTCGTCAAATGCATAAAAAATTTCTGTTTTTTTTTTTAAATTTTTTCATTTAAAACCAAATTATAACAATACAAAAATAAAAATTACCTGAATCAATCTCTGAGGTGTTGCTAATAATATGAATGTGCTAAGAACGCAGAGCAGTAACGGTGACGTAAAAAATGAGAATTGCGCATTTGTCATTGTTGCAGAGCGCTTATTAATTCCTTAATAAAAAAAGAAATTGTGATAAAAATATAAACGCTATTGTATATTTTATGAGTGATAATTTAAACTGATAAACTCTGACGTTTCTATTTTTCAGTCTAACAGCAAAGCACTGATAAATTATATTTCATGAATTCCATTATCACACCATCAGTTGCTTTGTTGAATAATACTTACTAAATATGCAGTGAATTTAAAATCAATTTCGTTCCTCTTTTTAGCTAACTAATCTTTATTTTGTCCAAATATGCTATAATTAAAAAAATATGCTAGAAATAAAAATTATGATGGTTTTTGTCAAATAATTTTGAGAATAAATGCAAGGTTCCCATTCCTAAATTCTTTTTTAAATTGTTTAAAAATTCGAGCGAAAAGGTTACGAGAGATTCAAAAAGCGATGAAAAATGAATTTGAAAATATTTTGACAAAAAACTCCACTTACCACTTAATTTCTATGAAATTATACAGAATATCACCAGAAAAATATTGCCATTTATTTAAAAAATTTTTTATGTGCTTGAATAGAATAAAAGGATTTGCATGTTAAATAGTTATTTCATATTTCGATAGAGACAGCTCGACAAAAAATTAGCAATAAAAATTTTTTTTATTTCATTAAAGATTACAATGGTCAAAATTCATAGCAACTTTGCTGTTTAAAAAAAATAAATAAATAAATGTCTCCCTTACTACAAGGGAATGCATAGAAAAGTATATAAATGTTGGAATGTATATAAAGGTAATTTAGATTTAATATATGTGCCAGGTACTTTTGAAAAATAGCTGAAATCAGCTTAGAATGATCCACTTTCTCAATTATTTGAATGATAGAAAAATGGAAATTGAAATCAATCGCACTGAAGCAAAAGCCATTTTATGTTGAGAAAAATGACAATAACAAATTTCAGTTTTATTCAACAAAAACGGCCAGATAAACTTAGCTTTCCATGATGACATTGATTCACTGATGTATCCTTTCTTTAAGAATCCTTTAGCACAGTTCTTTTATCATCTGAACAGCACAAAGTGTTAAAAACTAACAAATTAATAAAAATTACTCAAACAGTTTCGACAGATTTAATTTAAATTAATCTAATGAAATTGACTTAGCTTTTTGCTAAATTTATCTGAAAAAATTGTCCTTCTTGACCGTAATTTTTTGTTAATAACTTTAAGTTTTATTACCGTCTTTAAATGATTTCAGTTTAAATTGATAAATGTATGTACGTCAAAACACATTAAATGTTGAAGCTGAAATATTTCAACCCAACTCTTATTATATAAAAAGTAACGATCATCTAAAAGTTATAGTTTTATAAATGATTCGTTATATTTACATTGTCTATAAGTGCAGTGTGTTATTAGGATTACAGCAAATGTGATGAAATTATTAAAAAGAATATGCGATTATTACTTTAATTACAAAGGTAAAGGAGTGACCATCAGTGGTCACTCGAAATAATCACAAAAGTAAGGCACTGATCTCTGGAGACATTATAACAGCTTTAATGCCATCAAACAGAAAATTCCTTTGTTCTACTTATCGTGAAATCACTCATAGGCAGTATTACTGAATGAGAGAGCTTTTGGTGGGGATTTTGATGTCATGCACGTTTCGGTGTTACAATTTCTTCTTCAATAGGGGCTCTAATCTCTGCGCCTTTCGGAGATTTACGTTCTACTTGTGTACGTTCTCTCAAATTGGTTAAGTATTCTTCCTTCCATATTTTCTAGAAAGTAGCCAGAGTTTCCATTGTTCTTGCCCAATATTTGATAAGTTTCTGTTGAGTATTTAACTTATAAGGAGTATAATCATATCGATCATCGGTATTACTATTAGGTATCATTAGACATACGTCTGGTATAATAAAATCAATAGGTCTTAGGATTATGGAATCGTCGAAGTTTACGTAAGTTAGTGGGCGAATATTAAGTATGCTTTCAACTTCCGCTATTAGAGTTATAAGCTCCTTTTCTTTTAGCAATTTCCTACCTATAACCTTTCTTAATGTTCCCTTTGTTAGGCCGATTATCCGTTCGTAAACTCCTCCGCTCCAAGGCGCCTTCGGAATTATATTTCTCCATTTTATTCCATGTTTAACTAGAAATTCGGTCATTTGTGTTTCTTGTTCCATTAGGGTTTGAAAAACTAACTGAAATTGACCGACATTATCACTTAGAATTATTTTTGGATATCCGCTTCGTGCAACAAATCTTCTCAAAGTATTTAAAAAACTTTCTCAAAAAAACTTTCTAAACTGTCTGCTAATAGTTGCAAGACATAAAGCAATCTATCTTTTTGCAACTCCTGTTTCTATTTTTTTTTTCCAAGCCAACTCGTGAAAGTGTTCGTGATCGTGTTACCCGAAATGAAGGGTAATTATGCATAGTTGGCAGTTTAAACGGCTTTGCTTTCCATCTTCTGTATCCTATGCATTTATTTAAAACTCTTTTAACTTCTATTCTTCCTTTGGGTATCCAAAATCTTTTTCTCAAACTTGAAATCATATGAGCTATATTCCAGCATGAAACAGTTCGTCGTATTGCCATTGTATAAAGATTTCGGTTATACGATTATGTCTAGGAAGATATATGGGATGTAAACCTTGTTCGTCTAATTCTGAGTTTTCTAAACGACCTTTAGATTTACATACTCTTTGTTCATAGTATAGATTCCATTTAATTATTTCTTTTTCCGTTATTCCTTCTGATTGGGCTTGTCTGATTAATACATCTATAGCTAATTCATAATCGTTATCATTGAGTCGACCTTTTGCTGAACACGTTTTTTAACCAAGGAATTTTTCCTTTGGATATTAAATTTGTAAATTTCAGAGTCCATGCAGTAGTTCTTACCAATCTCGACCACTTGCTAAATCGATTTGCGTCGATTAATTTGAAGTTTTATCAATAGTAAAATGTGCTACAATCTTTTGGCCTTCTTCTTCACTTTCGTCTTCGCTGTGAATTTCTTTGAAATTATATTCCCAGACTGGCCATGTTGATTCTTCCTCTGTTAACCAATCTGGTCCTTTCCACCATGATTCAAAATGTGCAAGACGAAGTGAAAAAGTCCTCTGGAGGCCACATCAGTTAGATTAAATTCACTTGGAATATGGCGAAATGAGAATTTTGCTTGTCTTATTTCTTCAACTCAATTTTGGACGAATTTTGGTAGTAAGCGAGAATGATTTTTTATCCAGTGTAATGCGCACTTGGAATCTGACCATAAGGTGACATCAATATTCTCTAATTCCATTTGTTTAATAACAAACTGAACAGCACGTACTCCTATTAGCACGGCTAATAATTCTAATCTTGGAATAGTCATAGACAGGCGTTGTTTTCTTTCAATCGCTGCATTCTTCGTTCTAGATTAGGATAGGTTTGACATTCATTATCCCAATGGTTCCTATTGCAAAAAGCACATGGTCTTTGAGTTTTGTTAATCTTCGTATTAGCCTTTCTATGTGTTTGCGGTATTATTACAGTTAAAGCCGAAGTTTTTTTTGTAAAATATCGCTGATTAGTGGACCAATTTTACTTTTAGTTTCCCTTTGCTCTTTCATGATGTCAAAGGATTGGCTTCTTGTAACTTCTTCGTTTCTTTGGATCAGTTTTGCTAAGAATTGTCTTAGCTTAGCTACTGACCATATTTCTTGTTCCTTTTGTTGATACACTCTGTCCAGAATCCAGGCAGGCAGTTTATTTTCAATGATAATTTCAATACTGGGTTCTTCGAGATTTTCACCTACTGAAAATTCAGTATTCTTCCAGTAGCTTCAACTGTTATCTTCCATCTTGATCATTCTTCTTGACGGGATATAACTCATTGTAGAACGATTTTTTAATGATATGTGATTGCCCAAATTTTTCAATAAGAACTTTTCGTATCACATCGTAATTTTCTGGGGTTATATCGTAACCTCTAACAGCCAGTAAGGCATCTCCCTTTAGACATGCAATTAAATAATTTAATTTTTGGATGTCTGATATTTTTTGTAAATGGACTGCAGCTTCAAAGCTACTCCAGAATCCTCTCTACATCTTAGGATTACCATTGAAGGTAGGCAGTGGTAGTTGAAGTAAGTTAACAGGGTTATTTGAGTTGGTTACTCCTTTATTTCGCCTTCTTTAAGACGCTGGATTACTAACTCTGAGTCATTCATATACATACTTAAGGTTATGATAACTTCTTCGCCTTCACTTACTAAGTTTAAAATACCTCTTTTATCTTCGACCATTTTGGCGTATTTGTCTTCTTCTTCCTTTCTATTCGTTGCTGGAACATGTTGTATGCATTGGACCCAGTTAGTATTAATTGTCTCAAGTGTACCAATATGCAGTTTGAGACGCATTATTTTTTCTTCAATAATTCTTTTTTGAGCCTCGTGCTGTTGACGGGTTTCTTCTCTGGTCAACATTTGCTCCGAAGGCGTCAGATCCATTTCTTGGATTTCTTTGAGAAGAGCTTCCAATTTTTTTTTCGCCGGTCGTATTATAGTTGCAGACATTTCCCGGCTCGTGACACCAGAACTTTATTTGTCGTGGATTGTTTAATTTAATAATATTGGGAGAGGTGTTTGATCACAGGGAGATTGTCTTGGATGTAAATCTAATGCGTGAGGTAACAGAAATATAATCCACAAAACGTTGATAGAGAACAACTGAAATTGGAATCGTCGGTCCTTGGCGATAAATTACACCTATCCCCAATCTTTTAACAAGGGTGATCCTTATATAGCAATTATCTTATGTATTAAAATGTGGGAGTAGTTTATAATTAGACATTTTTGTACAAAGGATGATAGTAAGTAACTTTAACAATAGGTTTAAAAATGGATATCACAATGAATTGAATGGATATCACGAAAGAAAGTACAATGGTTTGTCTAAACATTATGATAAATGGCTGCTATGAGTTGCAATAGACATTACATGATAGATGCTCATACTATATGAATTGATATAAGATCAAAATCAATTAAACCATTATGATGATTGTAAAAGACATCAATGGATTGCTATATTAAGCATTGTTAACATTTATTTAGTGCTTCGCGATGTTAAAATCCGCGACAGTAACCACTTACAACCACTTGCTGATGTAGCCACTTGCTACCACTTGTTATGGCAACTGTTAACTAACCACCTGTTGATGTAACCACGTGCAAGCTACTTGCTACTGCAACCACTTGTTAGTGCAACCACTTGTTAGTGAAGTCGCTCTGTACAGCAGGTGGTTGTAAGTGGCTACGTATGGTTACAGCAACAGTAGGTGAATTTATCCCTCATAAATTGAGCTCCCAGGAAAAACTGAACCAAAAATTCCACGTGATAAAGCAAATTAAAAGAGGAAAGGATGGAAAGTGTATAAACAAAAACCTATCGATCGACAAATTATAAAAGCAATACATATACATTCAATATAAAACAATGCATTGAAACAAAGGTACTCAACCGTCTTTAAGGCATCCAGCTCCTTCATTTAGGAGTGTCGTGAAACTCGAAATAATCTCTCGAGCCTCAAAATAACTTACAAAATTGAACAGTTAGAAATGTAAAACTATTTTAAATTACATCATGTAAACAATCATTATTCCAACTCTCATCTTCCCACTGCACCTAAGTTTATTTGCTTGTCTAAACATTTTCAATTGATAATAAAGAGTATGTACATTGTTTAATATGTTAAAAATTAGTCTTTTGTTCCAAGTCAAATTTGCTTGCAATTTCGAAATACTGTAATGGTCTTCTAAGCTGATAATCATTCTTTGGGTCATCATCAAAAAGAAGATCTCGAATATTATGCTAGGTCTCTCGAAACAGCCAATCAAAAATGCATGGATATCATTCAGAGCTTAGCCATCGCGACGAAGCGAAAAAAAGAAGAGGCGAAATATGCCTTGATGACTATTATTACTCTTAAAATATGTAGTGATGAATACTGCCTGGTACTTCATATTTAGATCAAGAAGATACCAGAGAATCATTCTCATAGAATAGTATAGTTCTCACGAATCAAGCGGAGATAAAACTCCCTCAATTACCACTAATAACATTTAGTGGAATGCAAAATTATGGAGGCAATTTTGGTGTAGTTTCAAGGCGACAGTTCATGAGCAAAACACTCCAGATAATCAGAAGTTGAACTATTTGATATCTTGTCTTAAAGGAGACGCATTGTTAGCTGTAAGAGGCTATGATATAGCGCCAGAAAACTACGATGTCATAATAACTAATAGAGAAGTATGGTAAACCTTTCATTATATATATTGTAACACTTTACAATAAATTGAATTCCATCAAAAGAAATGAGCATGACTGGAAACCATGGAGAGAATACTTTGACATCTGGAAGCTATAGGTGAAAATTTAAAGCATCGAGTATCGAAATTTCAATTAAGAATAAATTACCAGCGTGGATAGTTAATAAATTATATCAATTGAAACAGGAGTCTGTCGACTTGGTCAGTTAAAGAAATATCCGACATACTTGACAAGACTAGTACTAAAAAATGAAGAAGTTGCTAGGAGTCAAACTAGAAGACAACAGGGAGAAGAAAGAAAACAAATATAATGTTAAGGGTCACAATCAATTCATCAAAGGGAGATAATACAATCAAATCAAAAAGGGTTCCAGAAGAAACTACTATAGATGGAAAAAGACTGAAGTATTTTGCAATAAGGACCATTGGAATAATTAACGAATGTAATATTTATCCCACACTCAAACTCCGAATGGAGCGTTTGAGGAAAATCACTGTGTGTTTCAAATGTTTACGAATAGGATATGCGACAAGTGATTACAAAAAATGGAAACTTTTGTGTTTCCATTGTTTAAGTTTACACAATACTCACTGTGTCCTCTTAACTATAAGAAACTCACGCAAACAATGGATTCCAACAAAGAAAAATTAGATGATATGATAGAACTGTTAAGGAATAGACTGAATTACTTCTAGCACTGTATTATTGTTTTAATTTAGGTACTATTATTTATTCCGTGATTTTGAACTCGAAGATTTGATCAACAATGCTGGTGGTTGTATTGTTAAGAAATATTTTTATGAACATTTTTTGGTATTTTAGTAATTTGAACTATAAATTCCTTTCATTAAAAGTCTTTTTATGTTATATTCGTTTATCGCTTTAAATTTTCGTCAATATAATGCTCTATAGCAGTATGCGTGACATAAAAGCGATAAATCTTAAAATCTCATTGCTGACTATGCCATTTCACTTGATAAAATGGACGATCCTAAATATCAAATTCATTTGTATAAATCTATTAGAGTTGAGCCCATTAGCTTGAATATTGAATTCGGCTTTTGCATTCTTCGTTATTTTTTACTGATATCATCATTAAATTTATCTTGTTGAAATTCTAACTGCCAAGTTTGTTGGTGTATTTAACCATTTTGTTAAATTAAAGGTTTGATTATTGAACTTTGAGTTTGAAAAATCAAAAAAGACTAAAGTAGTAGTATTAAACCTTTCAGTCCTTGTCATGATTGGGAAGAAATCAAAGGTTTATTATTTAAATCGACTTAAAAGATTTTATAATACGCTTTTTTTTAATTGTTACTGTTATCGACTTTGATTACCGTGAACGAATTTCAGAATGCAAATGATGGGAGACAAGATGATCGATGTTTTTTGTTTATTAAAGTGATAGCTAGAAAATTATTCAAACGGTAAATTTCTTTCTTGAATGCAAGAAATGCACTAGAAATCTTTCCATGTCAACTTTATGCAATTTTCTATGTATTTTGAAACAAACAAAATTCAATTTTTGATGTGCAGAACATAGTTCGACATTAAAAAAAAAAAAACACATACGCAACATACTGATAAATATTTAAACCTAACATATATGCATGATATATACTTAAATATAATGCAGGATTATATATGTGTTATTATAACAAATCTCAATTTTATTCAGCAACAAATGTCACAGAATTTTACAACATTAAGTTTCTCGCAAGACTTCAAAGCCGAGAAGTTGAGTAACATTCTGAGCCCTAGTTATCCAAAAAATTTTAATCAGAAGTGGTCGACCACTGCTGCAACAAAAGTATCATTAAGTAGTGCAAATAAGACAGCGTCAACAGTTTACTTATATGGAATCGCAATGAAGCAAAAATCATTTTATGTTGACAATAACAAATTTTAATTTTATTCAACAAAAAATGTTGCAGAAACTTACTTCCACGGTAGCATTGTTTCATTAATGCATCCTAACTCTAAAAGTCCGCTTAGTATAGCTCTTTCATCATCTGTGATGATATTCCACGATGAACTTTCAATAGAAATGATACTATCTCGCATAAGTTCAATATCTTCATCAAATTCATCCATGTTTTCTTGATTGGGAATTTCATCGTTTTCGTCCAAGTCGTCGTCAAATGCATAAAAAATTTCTGTTTTTTTTTTTTAAATTTTTTCATTTAAAACCAAATTATAACAATACAAAAATAAAAAATACCTGAATTAATCTCTCAGGTGTTGCTAATAATATGAATGTGCTAAGAACGCAGAGCAGTAACGGTGACGTAAAAAATGAGAATTGAGCACTTGTCATTGTTGCAGAGCGCTTATTAATTCCTTAATAAAAAAAGAAATTGTGATAAAAATATAAACGCTATTGTATATTTTATGAGTGATAATTTAAACTGATAAACTCTGACGTTTCTATTTTTCAGTCTAACGGCAAAACACTGATAAATTATATTTTATGAATTCCATTATTACACCGATTGACACAATACAGCTTGTCGATTGTTTTATTTAATAATACTTATTAAATATTCAATGAATTTGAAATCAATTCCGTTTCTCTTTTTAGCTAAATAATCCCTATTTTGTTCAAATATGCTATAATTTAAAAGAATAAGTAAGTATGCAAAAATAAAAATTATGATGGTTTTTGTCAAATAATTTCGAGAATAAATGCAAAATTTCCCATTCCTAAATTCTTTTTTAAATTGTTTAAAAATTTGAGCAAAAAGGATACGAGATTCCGAAAGGGATAAAAAATGAATTTGAAAATTTTTTAACAAAAAACTCCACTTATCAGTTAATTTATATGAAATTATGCAGGTTATCACCAGAAATCATTGCCATTTATTTAAAAATTTTATCATGTTTGAATAGAATAAAAGGATTTACATGTCAAACAATGATTCCATGTTTCGATAGAGATAATTAAACAAAAAACTAACAATAAAATTTTTTTTTATTTCCATTAAAGATTACAATGGTCAAAATTCATAGCAACTTTGATGTTTAAAAAAAAAAAAATAAATGTCTCCCTTACTACAAGGGAATGCATAGAGAAGTATATAAATGTTGATATGTATGCAAAGGTAACTTAGATTTGATATATGCAAAGTACTTTTGAAAAATAGCTGAAATCAGCTTAGAATGATCCACTTTCTCAGTTATTTGAATGATTGGAAAATGGAAATTGAAATCAATCGTACTGAAGCAAAAGCCATTTTATGTTGAGAAAATTAACAATAACAAATTTCAATTTTATTCAACAGTAACCATCTTACTTCCACGATAGTATCGTTTCATTGGTTTATCCTTTCTTTAAAAATCTGTTTAGTACAGTCCTTTCATCATCTGAAAGAACTTGGCAGTATCCAACAATGAACTTGCAACAGGGTTTTCGGCAAATTCATCCATGTTTCGTTGATTATTGTTGCAACTATCATAAATGATTCTCGAATTTAGCCAAAAGAGATTTACCAGTGCTATACTGAAATGAATGAAAAATATTTAACTAAAAGTGCTTTACCAAATTATTTATTACTGAAATAACGATCTGAGTTCGAGGTAAGATTGAACGATTACAAATTTGACAAAAAACACTCTAAGTTAACATCATATTATTGGTTGTATTGTCAAGAAATGTTGCTGGTGATTGTACTGTTAAGAAATATTTTTATGAACAAAGGAATTGAGTGTTTATAAAATGAAAGCGTAGAAATTTTTGTACTCATTTTTAGTAATTTGAACTTTAAATGCATTGCAAATTATTAAATTATGATTGCTATTTTATTGTCTCTCTTTTGAAGCTGTCATTCAGTAATTTGAGAAATTTTTGTGCTTATTGATTACTTTTTTTTTTGATTTGTGTTGTAGTCGAAAATTTTCCTATTTTACTAACTGGCTGAAATTTACTTGATTTTCATTTAATTCAGATGACCAACGACAATTAAATTCTTGAAATCTTTGTTCAGAACTCCAATTTAAATCAGCAAAAATAGCATACTTTAATGAAGTTAGCTGAAACAGGTGTTTTTTCGAACTTTTATAAGGGAAGAATTTAGGTTACCACATAATTTTATAAGATACCACATGGGGCATTTTATGGCCTTTTTGACATGGACAATAAAGTCTAACGAATCATTACTTTGTAGTTTTTAGCTTCAAATTATTTATAATTATAAATGAAGGTGGCTGAATTTCATTATAATTCTCAGTTTTTTGAGTAATACAAGACTGAAACTAGTTGCACTGTGACAAAAATGATTTAATGTCGAGAGTGAGCAAGTACTAATTTCAGTTTTATTCAACAACAAACATTATCGAATTTTGTGGAATCAATTTTCGCTCATAAACGGATAAAATTATACGACTTGAACGCCGATAATTCTACCAGCATTTTGTCCCGTAGTCGTTCGATTCAGTCTAAGTACAAGTGGTCTGCCAGTGCTGGAACAGAAGAACTGATGAGCGATGCAAAGAAAACAACACTAGCAATATACTTATGAGAAGATCGAAGGTAAACTTACTTCCAAGGTAGCACTGCATCAGTTATGTGACCATCTCGCATTAATTGTGTGAGGATATTTATGGCAAGAGGGGAAGTGGTATGCTGAGATGTGCTTAGAAAGGTAAAGGTAGTATAGTTGAAAGTAATATCAGTGAAGAAAAGATTGTCAAAATCGTCGTCATCAATATCGTCAGGCTCACCGTATGAGTAATAATCCTCAATTTTGTCGTTATCAACCTCAAAAAATTCCTTGAGAATCCGCACTTTTGATTTTTTAGTTTTTTTCAGTGTCACATCATATTTGTATAACTTCTCAAAAATTACCGGAGTGGATCGCTGCGACGCTACTAATAATATGCTTGTGCCAAAAATGCAAAAAAATAATGTAAAAAGTGCAAATCGTGGGTTTCTCATAATTGTAGAGCGTTTCCAGAATTAGTGCCTTAATGAAAGAAAGCAATGTGAATTTATCACAAACACATATTACAGTGAGTTAAATTTTAATTTGATAAGCCTTGAGGTTGCAACTTTTCAGTCTAACGGAAAAGGATGGGCAATTTAGATTTTCAAAAATTTCAAAATCATTTTTTTAAGCACTGTAACTTACCAATCGTTTTTTGAAAGTAAAAATGAAGACCGAATGAATTTGAGGAACAAAATGCAAATATACAATGAATTTCATGTCAATTTCGTTTTTCTTTTAAACTGAATAATCTTTGCTCATTGCATGAATTTAACAACAAGTTTATTATAAATTTTGATCAATTCACCTCATATTTTTTGCAAAATAAAATGGAAAATGACTTTTGTCCCATGCAAAATCGCATACTTTCGAAAAATTGGAAACACTCTTTTCAAAAGAAACAGATTCGATGTTAACACATGATAAACTTTAGTGGTAGTTAAAAATAACAGTAATTAAAAGTAGAAATAATTAGACAGTGTATTTTCATTTTCCATCTTCCGGAAATATAATTTGTATATGATAACGAAAGTCAGTATTAATAGTAGAGTTTTTTTTTTTTTTTTTCCATTTCAAAATGTGAAACAAAATGAAAAAATAATTCAGTATGAATATTCGTTAACGAAGTTCCGCATATCTGTTTTGCTATCATAAAAGTAAAATTTCTGTCTTTAACATGGAACGTAATCTTTATTAAATTATAGTTTAAAATCATATTACAAACAAATAAGAAAAATTAATTATCTACGATATTATTTCTTTCATTTTTGACAGAACTTTTGTTGGTAGTGTAAATATTAATACATTATCATTTTTTTCGATATTTTTTGCTTGCTATAATTGAAGACAAACGTTTATAACAAATTATATTAAGCGTAGCATAACAGTAATCACTGTAATATTTGTTAAATTCTTTTTAGACAATCAAAAAGTCGTAAATTACTTACAATCTAATCAATATTTATAAGTTATTTAAAGTAAACAAAATTGGAATATATGTATGTGTGAGATTATCCATCAAATTTTAATTAGCTAATTGCTATACTCTTATTTATTGGTAGTTTCAACCACCAAAAAAACACTCCCAAATAAACTATCCCAATTGATTTCAATCCTCTGATCTTTCTTCTTTTTTCATTATCATTCCATACACAGGGAAAAGTCTCATTTCGTTGTATTAAAATTCTCTTCTTTAGTTAGGGATTATTTAGTATTTTAGAGAGACAGCGCAAACGATTCTTTAGACACTAATATACTTTTTAAAGAAGTTTCTCGAATATAGAGCATAGCTCTGTATGCCTTTATCAATCAATCTTCTTTAGTTCATTGATGTTAGCTTTGATAAAATTTATGGTGAAAATGAGAAAGGATGATAGTCTATCGATTGGAAAAATTGAATTATAATATATCAAAATAAAATTATATTAAATTGTAAAAGACTAAAGATTGTCTCAATTGAATGTCTCTTAGAGAAACATAAAATTGTTTTAAAGTTGCATTTTATGTAAGCAATGATTTATCTAACATATATCTTCCAGTTATAGCTGAGCTTATCTGCATTGTCTGAAATGTTACTTTTGTGAATAAAGAATGTATATGCATTGCTTCATATTCTGAAAATTATTTCTTTATTCTAAACCAAATCTACATGCAATGTTAAAATATATGTCAAAATATTTCTAATATAGCAGTCATTTTTATGAGCAAATGAATGTTAAAGTAGCAGTAAACAATAAATATTTTATACTATGTAAATAAACATAACGATTGCTCACTATATAATTTGCATTATACAAAGAAAAAAAGACTCTTGTCATATAAAAGATGTATGAAGAGTAAGGATAATCTGATAAACAATTCTATATTAGAATATTGACATATATATTTGGCACTTGTTATAAGCCAATGTCCACTTATGTAAACATTTAAACCTTTTATCTGGTCAATTTTTTAAGGAATCGTCTCCAAAAGATAATTTTGGGTGAGCTTTCAATCGCCCAAAGTTGCATAAACTCTCGTTGAGTGTAAATACTTCCTTTTTTCTCGAGAAAGTTGAACGGAGACAAAAAGTCATTGATTTTTGATTGCGCTAGTAGTCATTGTACAATTTTTGCAAATTTGAAAAACTTAGAAATACATTCCAGTTATTTCAACATTTTCCATTAGCATTTTGTGTTTACACAGTAATATGTGGTGAACAAAGTGTCACATAAATTTTCTAAATTTTGTTTTAAACTATTTAGTGCAAAATAATGAAGTGGAAATGATAAATCATTGATTGTGATTTATTATCACTTCTTCTATCATTCTCTTCCATACTACTATCTTTCTTCTTCCCTTTCTTATTGCTCTTTTGGCATTTTTCTGAACGAGCAAATGCTTCGAATGGTATATTTTATGAAATATGATTTCAATAACTACTCTAACTATAGAAAAATTTGTCATTATGACGATGAAAATTATGACAAATCCATTTTCTTTTTAACTTTTGAAATATAATGTTACTGTATCATATTGTAATTTTTTTTTTTTAAATTCATATTTCAAAATTTTATTGTCAGAATTAAAACAACAAGCTCATGATGTTCATTTATTTAGTTGTTTAAAAATGAACTGAAAAAATATCATTAACATTAAATTTTGAAGAAAATTCAATCGAAATCCGAGCTTTTTTGATTATTTCCTGGTGGTATAATTGCTAATCGATTTCAGTCAAATTAGCAAGATGATACAATGAATTCCTGCTTTAACATTAATGAGTATATAATAATTATTTTTGCAGTTTTTTTTTTCTTTTTTGAAAAAAACATTAGCAAATAAAATATACTTATATCTGATGATTTAGCCATATTTTTTAAACAAATTCTTGCATCTTGGCATCTTGACTTTTTTCTGCTTCAATTTGACAATTGAGAATATATTAGTTTATAGTTGTTCTCAACAAACTTTTTTCTTACAAAATTTGAAACAATATTACTTGTTAGAGAAATTCAATATCAAATAATTAAATTTTGTTTCAGTTAGAAAATTTTTTATAAGCGGTAAGCTTTACAAGCACACTTGGTAATTATGTATTTAAGTTTTTTTTTTTTCTTTCATTCCATTCGTATGCAAAGATTAAAAAAATTTTGCTGTGCATAATTTTGGAAATGGTTAACTTAAATTTCATTTAATTCAAGCTTCTATGAAAAGCTTTTTTTTTTTGAGTGTCCAATAAACATTACGAAAACATTGATTTCGAAGAATTTACAAATGTTTATTGAAATAACCTTCATATTTAATAAAAAAACAATTATTATTACTGCTATTAAATTGTACTATCTGTTGTGCAAAAAATATTTGTACTTTTTTTTTTTATTTCGTTACCTTAGAAAGGAAAAGAAATGTGAAATTAATTGATTCGATATGATTGTGTTCATCTTTATTTAATTCATTTATAACATAATTAAACAAGAAAAGAGAAACACATTGAAATTCGAGAAGAAAAACAAAAAAAAAAAAAAAGAAACAGAAAAAAAAAAGTGGGAGGAAGGAAAATAAAATGAATCAAAAATTCTTTTTTTCAGCAATAAAAAATTTTTTCGATTTCATTATATTTTAATGCTTTGATTTGCCTAACATTGTTGCTCTTTCTATTCTTTCATTTTATTCTCTTTTTTATTTTATTCTTTTTTCTTTTCTTTTTTTTTTTTTGCTTTTGATGATTCAAATTTGTTTAAAAATTTTCGTCTGTTCACAGTTTTTTTTTTTTTTATAATTTCTTATAAGAACTGATGATTTTATTATGAATAAAATTAAAAGTGAACAGAAAATATTTTCATTTATCGCATTATTTTATTTTTTAGATAAATTGAAACGAAACACTATAATTTGTTACTTTTAATTTGTTACTGGTGTTTTAGTTTAATATCGGAAAACGTTAATAGGATGCTAATGTTTTTAAAATTAACTCAAATTCAAAATTTCCTCTAATTTAATCTAAGTTATATATTAGAGATCAAAATCACTAACTCATGGATGTGCAGAATGTTTTCCTTTGAAAATAAAAGAAGAATATTATTTAAATGGTCATAATTAAAATAGTATAGGAAATGAAATATACTACTAATGAAAAAAAAACGATACTAATACTTTTTTTTTCTCTCTTATTTCATTAGAATTTGATTTATTATTTTGAATGTATTTCTGATATAATTTGATTCGAAAGTAGTATTAATAATGCTAATGAAATTTATTTTCAGTTCGCTATTTGACTTTAATTTAAATTCAAAACCTTAATTTATACTCTGTTCTAAGACCAGTATAGTCTATGTTTACATATATTATAGTAAAGTATATATTTACTATTTTAGTGAGAGCAAAAAAATAAATAAATAGCGCATTTTTTATTAAAATATTATTTTTACTAAATTTCAACAAATTTTTTTTTCGAAATCAATAAATTTTGTTTTCAGTGATATTATATCCATTTACATTTGATTGTTGAAATGTTGAAATTATAGGTATAATCTTATTTCACTCTTTAATTTTTTTTCCATTAAAACATACTCGTATAATTTTAATAGTGTCATCATTATTTATTATGCTCGAATCATATATTATTAGTTAAAATATTTGTTATTCATCTAAAGATATTTATAATTTGCAAAATAAATCGTTAATATAAAAATTTTGAAATTCTAATTAAAATTTTATAAATCTTTTTATTAATACTAACATATATTTGACTAATTGAAATTATAAAAGAAAATAGGTATAATAGTAAGATATGAATAATTTCATTTATTCAACTTATTAAAAATAGATTATTATTTCTATATCAACTTTTTTTTTCTATATCGACTCTGTCAAATAAATTATGTCAACAAAACTAATATTATATTAGAAAAAATTCTTTTCTTAATTTTTAAGCTTTTTAAATTAAATTTTTTTTTTTTACTTATTTGTTTTA